TGTTTTTTGCAATCCTTGTGCGCGCGCTGATATTGCATCAGCAAAAGCGCGCACGAAAACTGTGTTCGGCCACCTTAACTGTAGTTACCCCAAAGTGTATATACAATGAGCAAGGCCAACAGGCAAACTCGTGTGCAAATAGATGAATGAAAACCTTAGATATTAAAAATGGATCTCTGAAAAATCATTGATCACAGCGAGCAGCTGCACACTACAGAAGCAAAAATTTGGAATGTGACCATCTGTGTTTTAAGTACAATAATAATGCTATATCTTGGTCAATTTAAAAGAACTTGGTGGCCTCGGTTAAAGTAGCTGCGAGGATGTTTTAGCCCATGTGGTTTGACCACCTGGAGGAAGGTGCCCGACTGTGAAAACCTACAGCCTTCCTGCTGAAATCATTAATGAAACCCCTGAGTCCCAGATGGGTGTAAATATGTACAGCGAAATTAAGATTGAATGAGATAATATATATTTTCGTATTCTGCCTTATTTACGTAGCATCTTTCAGGGACTTACAAAGACAAAAACAACATTAACAACAACAACAGCATTTTTTTCAGGGACTTAACACAATCATCATACCTTTCTGTACAAATGCCAGGACCCTTCCCAACCTGCCACAGCAACCATAGTGCTATCTGGTGAAAATTCCATGCTGGTGATGCGCACAGTTTTAAGGTGGACATACCAAAACTCTGTAAATAATTATGTAAAACAGGATTATTAGAAGAAAGGCCAGGGTTGTTAAAGGTAAAACATGTACATGAAGGCTGATGGTGAAAATAATGCTGTCTACTTTGTGATCTTGGCCAGCTTAACTCTGATCTACTTGGCTATTCTGCATATTCCTTAGAAAAACATGGCAAAATCAATTGCATAATCTGACAACAAAGCTTTGTACTCTGAAACTTGACAACTTTGAAGACAGACAAAGTTAACAAAGATCCAAAGTAGGCAATGGAAGCCTTATAATCATCAGGGGAGGGTGCAGAGGAAAAACAAATTGGAAGCAGTTTGTTATATTAGTTTTCAACATCCTTGTGTTCCTCTGTGATTAACTAATTTATAAACCTTTTTGGTCCGTGTCCAAGCTTGAGACAGTCCAGATACCAAAATGACCATCAAGAGCTGCCTACAATTTCAAAAAAAAAAAAATAAATAAATAAATAGATAATAATAATAAAAATAGAAATAAATAAATAAATATATTAATGAATAAGATTAAAGGATACAATGTACAATGGGCCATGTGGACAGACATCCAGTACACAAAATTCATAACCTCCCTGGTACTCCTTGTTTTAAAATATTAATAAAAAATGCTGTTATTTGTGAAAAAAAAT